GTATTACATTGGAAGAATTTAGTAATTTAGAATATAAGGATGAAAGTATATTTCTAAACGCAAAAATTAAAAGCCCTTTCAGATGCCTTTTTGATCATAAATGCAGAAAAGAATGTAAAAAATAGAAAAATTATCCTCAAATTCAATCACTCTGTAACATCTGTCGTTTTTAAATGAATTAAAGCTTTAATCTAATAATGTTACCCCTTTTTCTCCACACTACAAAGTTTTTTGAAGAACTTCTGTGCCAGATCCCTACTAGAATTGCCTTTACCTTCTATGGCTTCTCCGCTTTCACAATACTAAATTTTTAAAGAACTTCTCTGCCTCAAAATAAGATAGAATTCTTTAAATTCCATAGCATTCACAGATTTTCTAGTTTAAATTAATTGTCAGTTTGTAGACACATTAGGAATCTTTTGAAAAGCAGGATAGGGGAGAAATGAGCAATGCCCTAGCCCAGGGGTCGACAACCTGCGGCTCGCAAGCCACATGCAACTCTTTGGATGTGAAGCTGCAGTTCTTTAGTTCCATACGCAAATATTATTTATTAAAAAAATTTTTTTTAATCATTATGAATCGATTAACGAGGATTAGGCACTGATTCCGAAATTTTGTAAATTGTAATTTTTGACTCTTCCGACTGAAAAGGTTGCCGACCCCTGCCCTAGCCGAGACTCGAACCACGAACCTCTCGAATACTCGCCGACTGTACTGACCGCTACACTACAAAGGCATGCTAAGAAGGCAAGAGAAATACCTTATAAGTTAATGTTCTAAGAAATTCATAATCGCAAAATATAGCTTTCACAGTTTACTTAGGACTATTACTTTGTTATCTGATAGAGCTATTCTTTAGCTCTCGCAGTTTGTTAATAAAAGAATTATAAGCAAATCAGTACAAAAACAGAATTAAATGAGACAGGCATGTTTTAGTATGGGGCTGATAAATTAAAAATTTGTTATTCATTTAAAGCGGAGTTTTAAGTATATTGGGGAGGGGCTTTCCTTTATTGGCTGAACATTCCTTTGAAGATATAAAAGTATGGAGCGAAGGAATTACGATGTATGAAGTATATGTTATATATAACACTACATAGTAGTATAATTACATATAAGATTTCATAGTTTTCTAGAGGAGTATTTTTGAATTTTGTTAAAATAAATCGTCATTACATAAAACTAGAAACAAAGATTTAACAAACCTGAAATTAATTGCGAAAATAACAATTTCAACATTTTCATGTTATCAGAAGTTCCTCTAACTTGTGCGCACAAAATGAAAAAAAAAAAAAAATATTAAATACTCACATCACCAGTATATAGCTGCTTATATAAGTGAATTTATACAAAATTATCTGTTTTAAAAATTCAGTCTGAAACGAACTCAGAAACTGCCTTTTATGTGTATCAAGTGCGTCTCCTTATCCAGTTACTACAATAATAATGAAAACGGTTGTTCGAAGTTTAAGTCAATAGAATAGCTGATTTCAAAGTCCAGACGTACTTTACATGGTACATGTAGATAAAACAAGCTTCAAATCTTATCGCTTGTATTAATAAAAAAAAAATTAAAAAGGGGAAAGCGAAAGTATTTCACATTTGTGAAAGACCAGTTTATTCTTCAGATTTTTATTACTCAAGGAATTCAAATTCGAAATTCCTGTTTGCAGGATATCCTTCCTGAGCAAACTTGAATAAAAGGTTTAATCTAACACTGTAATCCTCAGTTTAGGTATTTATTTTCTAATTAATTTCTAATTTCTAAATTTGATTGTTTTTATTTAAATATCTTAAATAAACTAAATATCTTGAACTCGATTCTTAGTGAAGATTATTGGAAAAAAAAACGATTTTTCAGAGCCTTGCTTTCTTAATCGTCATATTAAAAAATCAAAAGATTTCATATCATATTATGTTGCCAGAAGATTTGGTATTTTGAGGAAGAAGATTCTTAGCACTATTACTACATCAAAGATATATTTCATATATTATTGAGCCGTTTTCTTCGAAGGTAGTATAAGTCCATTTTATATTATATGGAGATATTTAAGAGTTTTTATTTGAATGGTTTGAAAAGTATTGTGGTATACGTTGGTACGCTCATATTATTTTTTTAAATATCAAATTGGTTTAAGTTTATAATGAGATCATTTTTAAAGTATTAGTTAAAAGAAACTTATACTTTTGATGACCTCAAATGGACTTACACCACTTTCAAATAAAAAAAAAAAAAAAAAAAAATGTGAAAAATCATCCATTTCTGAAATATTAAATATGAGATTTTCGATTAAATCAAACCAATTTTTTATGGAACTTTTATTATGTATGTCAAAAACTAAAAAGGCCCTTTTTCAATATTTATTCAGGTAATGTCATTTAAATTACTTTCACTTTATATTAATATGAGCCATTTTTAATTTTTATCATTATCAGAATGCTTTTTAAAATAGGCATGGTGTGTTGGGGGAATATAAGGTAATAGATCCATTATGTAATATAATTTTTTAATTTATTTAGTATGTAGAGAAATTCGGATATTTTTTAAAGCAGGCAAGATGGAAAATGCCACGCGTTGCATGACATCTGTACGTAAGAACAGAGTAAAGTACTCGTTTTCCCAAAACGGGTTGCAAAAGGATTTAAAATGGATTCAGAAGAGATTTTTTTCGTGACATTTGTACGTACGTACATATGTATGTATGTATCTCACATAAATCAAAGACGAGTAGCCTCAGAACGTTTAAATTTCTATAGACTGCTATAACATGCAGGTTGTGCACCTCCCTTTTTTGGTTGCTCGTCCCCCAAAAGTATATACATATATATATATATATACCCACTCTGTTACTCAATTCCGTGACCTCAGTTCTTTTTATTCTTTTATGTCGGTAAATTGTGCATTTTTTCTTTAAAAATGGTGGAATTACGTTGCTCTTTACCTTCCGGTTAAATTTTTTATGCCTCTAATTAATCTGCATGCTGTAGTTGTAGCAGTAATCAACAATTTAAAATTTGTTTAAGTTCGGCTAAGCCTAGTTTTTTACCATGGCTGTCATATTTGTTTCCATTTGAAACTTAGCAGAATAATGAATTAAGTCAGCTTCTGCACATTCAGTGTCTTTTTGACGAGTGGACCAAAGTAACCTTCAGTTTTGTTCATTTGAACAATGTGCCTTTAAGATTTTTGTTTAATAATAAATTGTAATATTTTTGAGTGGCAACGCCATATTTGTGTTAAACCGTTCCTCAGCAACGTGAGGTATTGTTTTTAAAAAGATTAGAATTCTGAAGATTTTACCAGCTAGGAGTAGTAATGACAATTTTGCCAGCTTAAGAATAAGAAATTGTATAAAATTTGTCTATCACCGTGAACTAGAAATACATTTATTTCTAACTAGAAATTGCTGTTTTGTAAATTACTACAAAATACATTACAGCCTTCTTGACCGATGGCCGAATTTCTTGTTTTGCCTATAGACTGATTTAAATTGTAAAAACTGTGTTTAACTATTTTAGCTGTATATGGTGTTTTATATTTTTCGATATCTTTCCGTTTTTAATAAAGATATTTTGAGGTTTTATGTACTTTTGCCTTACCTTGAAGTCAAAGCTGTATTAGTTGAATGAGAAATATATGTCTAATTAAATCTGAGGAAATAAGTTTAATTGAAATGCAGGAAAAAATGCATATAATTTAATATTCCGTACAAGGTAGTCATCAGATTTTTATTTAAAAGTGATTGAATTATGTTGTTCTTGTGTTCCGGTTAAGGTTTTATGCCTTTAGTTAATATGCATGTAATAGCTGTAGAATTAGCAGCAATTTAAAAGTTTTACATGGGGCTAACCCTAACGAGGCCGCCATTTGTTTACGTTTAAATCTCTTAGTAAAACAGTTAATCAATTTAGTTTGTGCACCAACTTCAGAGTGTCTTTGCCGAGTGGGACCAAAAGAAACCTTCAAATTTGTGCACCGAAAAATCTGTCTTTCTGCCTGCTGGCCGAATTGCTTGTTTTTGCCTACAAATTCTAATTTTAATTGTAAAAAACTGTTTCTTCTTATCTACATTTAGTGTTTTATGTTTTTCTCTATTTTACGGTTCTTAATAAGGTCTTTTCAGTTTTTACACACTTTTGCCTTGCCGCAAAGTGAGAACTGAATTAATTGAATGACGAATATATCTCTAATGAAATTCGAAGAAATAAGTTGAAATGAAATCCAGCAAAAAACGTGTATAATTTATTAGACTGTACAAGGAAATCATGTAGTGTCCACATCAGATATTTTATTTAGAGAACCAGTAGTAAAATTGGAACAAACATGTATAAAAATTGTTTTTGTTCATTTTTTTAAGCAGTTTACCTTATCCTGCAAACAAACATTGCATGATAGGCAAAAAACTTATGTCATTTTTGAAATCACCATCAAAAACTCCATAAAAAATCACTTGACAAAAATAAATGTTTTATTTTGTTTTTTGGAGATCTGCGTAATCATTTATTTTACTGCCGTTAATCACTTGCTATTTGATGTCAGAATATTATTCTGGCATGAAATTTAAAACATTTAAGTGACCCTATAACCAAAGATCTTCTCATCAGCTACATATTGAAGATAAGTCAAATAACTAAAGCAAGGAAATGAAAATACTGCATTAAATATATCAATAGCGAAATTTAACTTATTACAAATTCCATGTCTTACAGGTGTTGTAGAGACATTAGGATTTTTTGGAAGCAGGAGAGATGAACAATTTACAAAGCCTTTGCCGGAAATCTAACCACGCACCTCTGAAATATCGGCTCAGTGTGCTGACCTCTACACCAAGAAGGCACGCTAAGAAGACGGAAGAAATACCTTATATATTCCCCCTTTTTAAAGGGAGGACTGGGGTTTTTAGGGAACCCAATCGTCAAATCCTGGGAGAGGAGAATCATCATCCAACACCCTTTTAGTTCGGGCGCCACTGTACAGACATTAGGATTTTTTGGAAACAGGAAAGATGAAAAATTAACAAAGCCTTCTGCGGTAATCGAACCACGGACCTCTGAAATACCGGCTCAGTGTGCTGACCCCTACACCACGAAGGCACGCTAGGAAGGTGGGAGAAATATCTTATAGTGTAAACTATCTCATCTTCTGACACAGTAAATACAAGTACAGAAATTGAATTTAGATATAACTATGAATTTTCTTCCTAAAATAAAAGTGGACGAAGACATTTTCGCCACTAGAAGTAATTATCAAAACGAAAAAAAAAATTTTTTTGGAAGCATAACTAAATGTTCTTGAATAACTTCTGCTTTCTATTGCGGTGTAACTGGTATTTCAAATTTGTCTTTTCGATTGTAATCCATTGGGCGTATTTTCATAACTGTGTCTTTCAAAGAGTAATACTGTCCACGAAATGAACTCCACTCTACTCCATCAGCATAAGATTTATGGGCACCTTTTAGGTACCATCCGTTCAAATTAGAACCATGGCAACTGGTGTACCACCAAGCTCCTTTGAACATCTCTGCGCAGCTCTTTTCATGTTGATCATTATCTCTATCTTTGGTGCTGAAAGGGACACCATTTACGAAAGAGAAGGAATTACCTGCAAGAGAGAGACATATCAGTTAATCGCAGTTGTCTTTCAGTGAGTAAATTAATAGTTATTGTAAACGCAAATAAGAAGCTGGTACTGCATTTAGGGCACTGTGTTTACTTACCAGCTGTTCCCCTATACCCCTTCACATGTGCTGTATATTTATGAGGTTCATCGTCAATCCAAAACCTGTCGTAAGTTGCATACGTTGTATTACCTTCCCAATCAGAAAGAGTGAATTTGATAACGCTTGCTCTTTGGTTAGTCAAAGCAAAAATATTATCATTGCCTGAAAAATAACAAATTTTAGAAATAGCCGCGAACCCATCAATTGCATTATTCACTTTCGTGACGTATAAAATTAATTTTGCAACTTACAGAACCCATTACTGTTTCATTTCGTAAGTTTTATTATTGAAATTAGTGAGTTATTTATAATTTCAGACATTACTGCGTACAGACTTTAGATTAATTGGAAGCAGGAGAGATGAAAATGAGCAACTCCCTCGCCGGGAATTCCTGCCAGCTCTCATAAGCTTGTAAGTATTCGCCTTTACGTTATTGCTGCTGACATTTAAATTTGGTACCGTTTAGAGTTCTGAACCAGCTTAGATTTATATTTGATTGTGCAATCTTTGACTATCAGCCTACATTTTAAATTTAAAATTAACTGTTAATTTAGGTTCATTGCCACAAGTGGTGGTTAATTTCTGTTACCATAAGACGTGCATTAAAGTTCGTTTTTAATAAAAAGGTTGTTTAAACCTTTTAAATTCTTTGCTGTTACCTCAGACACAGCAATAATTCGCTTTAAGTCTGTTAGGATTTTGCACCTAGTTTATGCTTCCAAAGCAAGCCAGACGCTACAGTTTCTTTATAAATCATTTGATTTCTTTTAATATTGTTCAAAAAGAGTTTGTTGAATGTTCAATAACTACGGTTTTACTTTTCAATGGAATCGTTCAAAAGCAATTTTTCCGAATATATACATAAAATAACAACATCTGAGATGTTATCCAAAGTTGCTTTAAAATTATTTTGCCGTAAAACCTTTGTTTTAACGAATATCTTCATCAAAACGTCTTCTTTAATTCTTTACTCAAAATAACTGCTAAAATAATCAAGTTATTCCGATAGTGGTTTTCAGAGGTCTTGGAACCTTTGACATTTAATGTAAGATATTAATGGAATTGAGGAATGAGTTTTCTGTGCTAAATTCTAAATACAACAAAACGAACTTAAGTATATTAAAGTCAGGTTTTAGAAAACTGAAATACTCTGAAGTGCCACTGAATCAGGGACAGCAAGCCAATGACGAGTTGGGCCTCCTCTGGCCTTAATAACGGCTGCTACACTTCAAGGTATAGATTAAAGAAGTTTACGAAAGCGTTCGACGGTAAAGCCTTGCCAAACATCGGCTAGAGCTGTCCATGATTCAGGAAGGGTCTCTGGTATTGTGGGATGTGCTTTCACACCTTTCTCCAAAGTATCCAGAAGGTCACAATAGGATTAAATCAGGGCTTCTAGGCAGCTAATTCCTGACAGAAAACTCATCCAGCCAGCCAGTAGCCAACCGGGGCCTGTGAGATGTGCAGTTATCTTGATGGAACGCTCCATTTTCGTGTGAATGGCAGAAAACCATAAATGGATGAAAGTGATCGCCCAGTAACTCACCACAACGTCCTCATGTAAGCATAAATACATATACTGAATCGCATTGAGAGAGGTTAGTACAAGTACCAAAGATCTCATACACTGCGAAGAGAAAACACTCCATATCATGACTGAGTCGCCATGGCCGCGTACAGTTGAAACCTGCCGTGAAGGATCCAAGGCTTCATGAGCCTGACACCATATTATCAGACTCTTATCGGCATTAAATAGTCGCAATCGAAACTCATCACTGCATGATACTTGTTTTCAGTCCTCTAAAGTCCATTCTGTGAGTTGTCTTGCCCAGGCAAGACGTTCCTCCCGATGGCGTGCATTGAGCAATGGCATTCTTGTGGGTCTATGGCTTCAAGGCCCAAACAGTGAAGCGAACGTTATGTGATCTGTTTACTGACTGCACGACTGGCGCCCTGATTCAGCTACGTGGTAATTTGAGCTATGTATAGCTCCGCTGGCAACATACAATACGGCTAAGCTGTCTCACCTCATGCTCGTTCAAGCTTAGTTGTCCTTTGCAGTTTGCCGGATCACTAGCATTTTTCCTACCGTTCATTATATTCTCGATATACTCTTGACATGTCGACCTTTAAAATTCTAGCTACCTGACGACTTCGGAAATTGAACGGCCAATGGGCCGAGTGTCTACTATTTGTCCGCTGTCGAAGTCGTCTAAATAATCGTCTAAATCGAAGGCGTCTAAAGTTTTACCCATACTAGCAGTTGAAACGACTGATTAACATCAATCTACTAGCTATATATGCAGTTAACCACAGCGCCCTCATGTGAGCATAAATGCGGCCCAGCGCACACAAATTTTCATAGCCAAGTCTATTCCTAATACAGCGGCACTTTAGTGTAAAACATTGCACCCACGAGTAATAGTATATTTTTGTAATTTAGCACTAAAATAAGTTAATTGCAGACAACTTTTTTTATCTGTCAAAGTAGATCAACTAAATTTTAACTGTTTCCATTCATTCAATTGTTCTCAGTCTTTAATTGATTCAACAAACTAGTAACCATACTTAAAGCCTCGTACATTACTAACGTAATTAAACGGCATCTCAATGACAACTAGAATTACGTAGGCCGAACGCCGAATATTAAACAGCAGTGAGCAACTTTAAAAACAGCATTAAACAGTACTAACTTTATATCTCCAGTTGAAAAACAAGTCATTTTCTGTGTTCATTAATACTAAATCATCTATCAGAGAAAATGAATGCAGGAAAAGGAAAAAAACGCTCAATTGAGACTGAATTGTTTCCGGTAAAAAGAGATAAAAATGAAAGCTAATTGTTTATTTTTAGAACAGTACATCGGTCCGTCCCTCCTTCCCTAGCTTTTTCCTTGATTTCATACTCTAAGTTATCTCTTCCACTCTAGCTCACTTTCTTTCTCCATGCGCATATTTTTCAATCATCAAAATTTTATATGAAATTAATTCCTTTTCTTGAAATAATATCCACCACTCCTTGGTCGTGAAGTATTATTTACTGGATTAAAATAACATCCCTTTTTTCCTTTATTGATAATTTTGTGAGGTTTTCTTTTATTTAAATGGGCATCTGTTTTATGTTTTTAATCTTTACTGTCACTTATCTCTTTTTGCTTTTCCTCCAGAATGCAAATTATTTAGCGTGTATTTAAGTAAAGATTTGAGATTGTTAAGACAGAGCGTGTTCTGCCTCTTTAAAGCCACATTACTAGGTTTTCTATTCTAAGATAAGACTTCCTATCTTCGGCCTTGCATTATACTTGCCCATAGTTAAATCCAGGTCGGTGTAGTCCGAGTTAACTTGCAGAGGTTGCTTGGTTGTTTCGAAGCAGGAGACATGAAAACTGACCAGTGCTTTTCCCGAGACTCGAACCTCGGACCTCTCGAATACAGGCCGAATGTGCTGATCATTACACCACGAAAGCATGCTAAGAAGGTGGGACAAATACCGTATATACTCCCTCTTTTAAAAGACGACTGGGGATTAGGAAACCCAATCGCCAATTTCTTGTCGTGGAGAATCATCATTCCTCACCTTTTTTACTTCTGACGCCACTGTTGAGTCATTAGGACTTTTCTGGAAACAGGAGCTGTACGAAATGAGCAATGCCCTCGCTAAGACTCGAACCTCGGACCTCGCGAATACGCGTCGAGTGTGCTGACCACTATACCACGAAGGCATGCTAAGACGGGAGAAATACTTTATAAACTTCGCGATAGATTACTCTGCGTATCCTTTGGCTATTAGTTATTTAAATTAAGCTTTACATTTGAATGTCTACCTTGATTTCTGGTCATAAATTTTGACGGATTTGTAAGCACCAGGTATGCTTTCTGATCATCTTATCTAGTTTAAAAGGTCTTCTACACCCTTTACTAGCGTCTGATGTATTTTCAGATATAGCGTGAGTCGCTTTACTTCTATCAAATGTTTTGGCCACAGGTTACAATAGTGAAAGACTTCAAATCTCACAATGTAAACAAGGTTTAGAGACGATCAGCTAAATTTCATTATTACTACCATTTCAATTTTTACTAAGCTTCTTCTTACACGCCTTTTCGCTAAGCTTGTCTTAGAAAATGCTAGACAAAATCCAAAATTTTTATTTCTTGCGAATAAGTGAAATTACATTTTGATGTTTAATGAACATAACTGATAAGATATCGACATGATGAAGCGTATGGAGGAGAAATCACAAATGAAGCATCAGGGATGCAGTGCGAAATGATTTTAACAACATTTTCAAATTTCATATTTTTAGTGTGCCTTGTTAATGTACTAAATTTCATCAGTTCACCCGTTCAGTGAAAGGAGTTTCACCTTCATGTTTTCAGTGTGCTTAATTTCATCAATGTAATATGTAATTGACTTGTAAGTTAGATAGACATACCTCGCCATTTGACAACAGGAAGTATTAATAAAGGAACTATTTTCTCATACAGATGGATTCTTTAAAATTTGGTGGTTTCTGAATTTCATGCATTTGAAATGAGTACACTTCATTTCAAATGCATGAAACTCATTTATAGCCGAAGGGTTCACTTCATAGCCCTCGTTGGCAGATTAGTTAAATTTTTCATTTCCCAACAAGCTATATTATATAAAGCATATTTTATCACTTATACTTGGTCAGTTTTGAGACGTTGAATGAAACTTTAAATACCATTGGCAGAGTAATCAAGAGGACCAGAACTTTTCTATAATAACCAATAACAAGATCGAAATGTTGAATAGTCGTATATGTTTTTAACCCTCTGAACGCCATGACGAGTTTATCTGGTCATGAGATTTTTTTTGTCACAATGTAAGGTTTATCGTAAGTTTATAAGAGTTATTTTTAAGTTAAAGCTCCTTTCCTATCTCTCATAATTTCAGTTTGCAATTCCTTACCAGAATGAGTTTTTTGAATCGCGTTAAATCCAAATGAGACGGAGTAGTCAAGACGAATAAGTCAGAGTTCCACTGACTTCGGTAAAAAGAATTCAATTTTCTGAACAGCGCGCGTTTTCCTTTTGGCTACTACGCTCGGCCGTATTACGTGCCTTTGATAGCTTCGCTAGCTAATTTCATATCAGAGGCCGACTAGTTAGAAATTGTGTTAGCTTCGGCTAAATCTCTTTACTTAGTCATTAATTAAGTTCTTATGTCTTATATTTCTGAGCTCAAGCCCAAGTGTACTGTACACCGTTAGTTTGAGCAATAAAGGGTAATTAATCCTTTTCGAGTTTTACGTTTCTGCTTCTTGACTTAAGTGATTATTCGCTTAATAATGCACTAGGTTCCTCCATACTTGGTTAGTAGATAAAAGGGAGGATCATTACAACTTGGTATATATTATATTAAAATGTATGATATGTTATCTTAAAATATATGATATTTTGTTTTCTCACCTTAATTTCATCATAATAAATATAAGTTAATGAAAACAGAACCAAAAATAAGAAAAATTTACAAATTTAGCTAATAAAAGCTCTTACAGTGTAGGTCTTCAGGGTAGATCCATAAAGCCTGGCTGCTCAGAGGGGTCTAATTTTGATAAAACCATTATAGTGCTTGATAAAAAATTCACTGCCTGATAAACCTAAAATTGTGTTTTCTATCAGAATCTTTGTCTACTCGTTAGATGCATTTATATCGTTTTTAATTATTTTAAGTTTCCTCTGAGTAATGTGTAGAGATATTAGATTTATTTCGAAGAAGGAGTCATGGAAAATGTGCGATGCCCTAAACGGGACTCGAACCACGGACATCTCGAATACGCGCCGATCGTGCTGACGACTACACTACGAAGGCATGCTAAGAAGGCGGGAGAAATACCTTATGAATATACTTTCTCTTTTTATAATTCAAATGAGTTACGGTTGGCTAAATTAGATTATTATAAAACTTCTTTTTTCATTTCCTTTTAATCGCAAGTCTAATATACGAATACCGATTCAGTGGAATGTTTGGGGCCCAACAGTGGCCGAATAATAAAGTTTCTGAACACTGGTAGTTCGATCCCATGTTTGAATTCCGTGAACGGGATGACTGCATGGGCGTTTTCGTGGTTTTCCCCATGTTTAACCTATATACGAGCCTGTTTCCTTTAGAAGTTTCGCCACGAATGCATTCTTTCCCTTCGGCAGATAACCCTAGAGACTTTGCCGTAGTCACATAAACCAAAACCGATCGAATGTTTGGAGCTGTTTGCATTTTCGTAGTGTTCTGATAACTCCTTCTTACGTCATCCTTATTTACCCAACTGACGTCGAATAATTAATTACCTTACCTAGTCCTGAAGTCCATGCATTTCAAGACAGGTTGATTATTTAAATGAAATATATAAATTAGAACGCAATTCAAGATCGAGTAAAGATTTCCCCAAAATAAAGTTATTTGTTTACATTCCACCTTATGAAACATTTAGTGTATTCGTAAACTACATCATATATGGTTTATTAAAAGATGTAAACAAACAGAAAGATTCAAATCATTCTTGCAAACGAAACATTTCTATAGTTCTTAATTTCCACAATATCTGAATGATAGTTGCCATTCTACTAGGTTTCAGCTGCCTCTGAAGAATAAAAAAAACTCTTGCTAAGAATTGTAATTTTACGGGTTTCAGTACCTTTCGTTGTTATCACTGTCACTTGTCTGACAGTGAACGAACGACATCCCACAAATACCACATACCATCCTAGCTATGTATGCTGATGACACAGCAATTCTATCTCAAAATGCATCTCACGACTAAGTCATCCAAGCACTACAGAATAACATCCACACACTGGATGTCCTGGCTCCTGGCATGGAAAATAAAGATCAATGTGGAATCAATGTGGAATCAAAGTCGGATGCAATACTTTTCACAAGGAAAACGAATATCGACCACAGCATCCATGTTAACATGCATAATACCCCAATCCCATGGACCAAGCAGGCCCGATATCTTGGTATTACTCTCGATCATTGCTTATCGTAGACCCCACATATCACACAGCTTCGAGTGCGTAAACGTACACTCGTTCCCTTAATTGCTAGAAACAGCGTTCTATCTATTGACAATAAATTACTCATTTACAAAGCCATGCTACATTCCATTATTACTTATGCCCTGTCTGGGATTATGCAAACGATACTGCCATCAAAAGATTGCAAGTTTTGCAAAATGTTATGTTAAGACAAGCTGTGGATTGTCCGGGGTTCATTAGGAGCTTGGCAATCCACAGAGAATTTAATATCCCTGAAATTCAAATTTATATGGCAACTCTTGACGAAAGATTTTTTAGCAAAATGTCTCAAGTTCATAACCCCACAATTCAGATGTTAAATTATGATTATAATGATGGGGTGAAAAGAAAAAGACCGCTTGCGGTACTCAGACATCTCTTATAATTAATTTAAACATCATGTGAACATGATTTAAATTTTAAATATAATATATAATATGTGATGTCCAGCTTTGTCCGAAATAAATAGATTGATGAAGAAATAAAATGTAGTCGTAGCTTAATTATCAGACGATAAGTTAGAAAACAGGATCCATTTATTATATTCAGGAGAATAGCAGTTACAAAATCATATCCGGAGTAAAAAAAGAATTACTATAACTTTTTGTATGAAGTTTACTGCATCGTGGCATTTAAGAAAGCCCCGATATTCCTTTGCGAGTCCTTTTATAGCCTCTAGAAAGGCGGAGCTTCCAAGAAATGACGTCAGCCTCGTCAGCCAATCATTCGCTTTAATATTTCCAGAACATTCTAAAACTGTACGTGTAAAAGGTGGGAAAAACAACTTGACTACGGGGCTGTGGATTTAATTCCACGTACTTTCAATAAGAGAACGTCGCCATTATAATGAAAGAACATACAGTTAGAATTTTAAGTGTATTCTTTTACTATGGAATTTTATCATTACAAATGTATATATATATATATATATATAATTAAAAAGGTAGGTAGAAAGTACTATATAAATATATATATCATCTTTTTCCATGATTATCTCATGTACCTCGAATATTATTATGCCTATTTCATATCTCTATGTTTATACCCATGTACTTACTACTTTATTATGACCATTTTGTATATATCTATGTCACTTCATTTGTCATTTATGTGTAACTTTCGCACATCTTTTTGCTAAGTATAATGTCGTCAGTTAGAATTATCTATGTACTTATGGCGCACATACATTCTCAGACTCTGCTGCAATCACTGGCATTTCTTTTTGCTTTGCACTGTACCATTCTCTTCTTACTCACACTTGACTCCGCCTGATTTGGTCGATCGGCTACAGCCGTAGCACATTGGTCTCTGTCGACTCTCCAATTTATTCGTCAAGGACGTTCCTACTTGTGCCCATCTGTGCATCATCGTGCTTTTCATTTGCAACTACATTTACGATCTTCGCATACCTTCGAAGCATCACTGCTAACTATCAGTTACTCTAGGGTAGCGCCGAGAGCGCGGGTAGCTACTTGCGAACAAATGTTTGTCTGAGCCGACAGTAACATCAGAACAAGCCCACGGAATCCGTCGTAGCATCTAGTGTAAGACTGCACCTGCTGTTGGCGTGGGCCTTGAGCACCAGGTGACAGTACGACTTTGCTCAGTTCCACCCCACCCCCGAATTTTGACGGGGAGCACACCTTAACGCCACCGAGGAGGCTTCCTACCTAAGGCGAAAACTGAACGGAATAATGCCTGCTCGGTGGAAAATCTAATAACCAACAATCTCCACCAAGGGTGGGCAGGGTCGACAGATGAATGAAATTTGTTGCGCAGTTAGAGAGAGAAAATAACACATCGTGCATACAATGCATCGACTGATTCATTTTAGAAATTGTAAGAAGGTCGAGCTCGAGGTTCTCCCCCCCCTGTCTTTCCCTACCTCTCGAGAGGACTTTCGACTGGCCGCATATTTAGAGTGCTGCCATGCCGCATAGACATTGTACATTTACAAATGCCCATGCCTTCTCCGGGACTCCAACCCGGGCTCTTCGGTACGGCAGTCAGCATCTCTAACCACTATCCCGGTTGGGCAGCCTCAGTAACGTTTTCTGAGTGTAAGAACCTATATCCCTATGCACAGAACTCTTATAAATCTAGAAGAAAACTGAAAGTTAAAATCCGGCTGCATTACTTACCGAGCCAAAAATCTTTACTCTGATCTCCGAAACCATTTTTGTAAGCTTCCCAGTCTTGATAAAAGTAGTCCTTTTCACTGTCAAAATCACCTCGTCTCTGAATAACCTAGTGAATATAAAATGTATTAATGTTTCATTTCAACTGCAAGTAATTTGAGATTCCAGTTGATAGGAGTATTAATATTATAAGGTTGTAGAGTAATTGTCCTATGAGTTATACGTTTCTAGTTGAATTTTGTGTCCTCGACAATTAGACCTTGAGAAGAGTATAGCGACTATTCGCTGTTCTTCTTACAACGACAAAACCCAAAGAAGGGTTAAAATACCCTTTTATTCAACTCAAAGAATAATAACAATTGGCCTCTCTCAGGTTTACATTCGGCTCTCTCAGGCCTCTCCGTGAGCTTTCACTTCAGATAGAAAATAAGAAACTAACTCATTCTATAGAACTAAAACTTAGCCGAAGCTGTACAGAAATAATTATCTGAGTTAGCCCTCATTTAAACCTCACCGGCGAATACCAACAGGCATGTAAGACTACGGCCGAACATAACAAGATAAGCTTAAAGCAACGACGTGGACAGACGGCAGAACATGCTCTATTGACAACTTCGGAGCTCTTCTACGGAAGCGTTTGAACTTCCCATTAAATACTGGTTCTAACTCATTTACATCAAATGCGATACTGAAAATTCATTCTGGCAGGGAGTTATGAGAGGAGGAAACAAGATAATAAAGGAAAGGGTTTCAAAATTAAAAATAACTATTAGAAAATTAATTCAACTTAATATAGTTTTCTTTTAAAATATATATACTAAAATTTGGAATAGAGTAAAGTTAATTTAAAGTGACAGAAAATATGGTTGAAAAACAATAATCATCTAAACTGGTTTTCCTTCTTATTTAAAAAATAAAACATTGAAAATTTTCCTAATTAAAGAAAGATTGAAAAAATATAGTTTAAAAAACATTATAGTTTTTCTTTCTGTTATCGGGACCGGATCCAGAAATCTATCTATTTGCGCATATATGTAGGTATGTATATTTGTAAATGTGTGTGTACACACACTTACATACGTACATACATATATGCTTGCATACATGCCCACACATATACCTACATACTGCATGCATATATGACACATACATATCTACATACATGCATACATTCAAACACTTTTGAGTGCGGTCCCGATAACCGAAAAGTGCCAAAAACAGCTGGGGAATTTCAAATAAATTTGAATATATTTCAATACTAACGAAGCTAAATAAATTTGCTGCACGTAATAGCGTTATTAATGAGACAGCTAATCTTTTATGAAAACTTACGTTACTAGAAAGTTTGCTTGGTATAACCCATGAAACGGGGCCTGCTTCTTAAAATCATTCACTGTTCATTGTTTATTAAATCCACTCGTATTTTTAGCTTAATTTTTCTGATAATTTTCTAAAGCTTTTTCTGTTCAACATCTTTTATCAAATCATAAATTCTAATCTGCCTTATATATCACAATTATTGGGAAATTATGGAACACTGAAATTTAAGATTTTAAATTATTCTTTTACGGAATTACGGGTACTGATCAATATATGTACCATATTTTACATTGGTCAGTATCTGATATAGCATGAGATCCACAGATGTACGATGTACTTTTCAGACTAGTTTAATGGAAATGAAGTTCATATCAATTTTAGTTATGCTAAAACAATCCTTCAAAAATGTGTAATTCCAGGTGTTAATATTTTTTCATCCAAGGATATTTAAGACAAGGTCTTTCCCAATTGTAAATTGTGATCATACCTCAATAAGACTTCAAGCGACTTATCGCTAAGTCTTAATGATACTACAAAGACTTAAGAATGATGCAAAACTAAAATAGATGAACAGAAGATACACGGCATGCTTACAAATCATCCAGCAACTGTGGCGAGAACTCTGTAGCGACATTAGGTATATTTTTTGAAGCAGGAGACTTGAAAAATCAGCAACACCTCCACCGGGAATAGAACCAAGGACCTCTGGGATACGCGCCCAGAGTGCAGAGCACTACACTACGAAGGCACGCTAAGAAGGCGGGAGAAATACATAACTCAAAACAGAAATAAATTCAAGATGCGAAACTAAATCTAGATATCTAACAGCCAAGTAAGAGTAAATTATAAAGTAAATTAATCTCGAAATTGCCCTTAAGATTTTCAAAGACTTGAAATTACTATTGGCAAGTATAATGCACGGCCGAAGACAGGAACTCTTTCATATTTCAGAATAGTAGTCCTAGCAGTGTGGCCTTCCACAGGCAGAACACGCTCTGACTTAAAACTCTGAAACTCCACTTAAATACACGAGAGCTAATTAGCATTCTGGCAGGAAAACGGAAGGAGAGAAGTAACCGTAAAGATTCTGAATATAAAATAACTTATTAAACAAATTAAATAAACCTTATTGTTTCATAAGAAAAAATTGAATTTAAATAAATTTAATTTAAATACAAATTTAATTAATTCTTTGCGCCATTGCTACAAGGAATGAAATTTAAATTTAAATAAATCTAAATTTCAACAAACATGTATATACGTAAAAAAGCAAATTTAAAGTTAAAAAAATTTTAAAATGTGCAAACATATAAAAGATTTAATTTTCGAACTAATCTACAATATCATTTAAATTCAGATAGCATAAGTAAATCAAGTGCAAAGCCAAACCATGAAAATAAATTCACCAATTTAGTAAATTAAAATTAATCTAAAAAAAAATTTTTTTAATGCATAAGTGAATGACTGTTGAGCAGGCAGGAGACAGACTTATCAAGGAGAAGTTGCCTCCAAACCTAACTCTCCAATCATTCAATTCGTGTTTCGTCATTCATGCGGGCAAGGGTAAAAGTCAAAACCAAAAGTAAAGAGTGAAGAATGTCCAAAAAGAAATATCAATAAAGTGGTACCTTTAGAAATTAGCTAAAAGGAAAAAGTTCTAAAAGGAAAATACCAAAATAGCTGAGCCAATCAAGAGATGTAAGTTTACTTCGCAAATATCATAAAAAGAGTACTAATTGAAGTAAAGTAGAGTTGAGTGGTTATTGTGAATTAATAAATGTAAACTGTTTGTAATGTGAAATGTGTGTTCTGTTGCAAAATTGTGTAAATATTGCAAATAATAACGTTAAGTGAAAAGATTTTTTGTGAAAATTGCAAATAATTGAAAAGTAATTAAGTAAAACTGAAATGTTTTTAAAAAAATTTTAAAAAAGGTTTAAGTAAAATTTAAAATTTTAAAGTCTTAAAATGTCTTTAAAAATGTTTTTTTTTAATTTCCGAAAATTTTTTAAGGAAAATTTTTTTAAATGAATTCCTTAAAAAACCTCTAAAAAATTCCCAGAAATTTCCTAGAAATTCCCAGAAATCTCCCAAAAATTCCTTAAAAAGTTAATCAAAAGTTATATTTAATAAAACAAAATATTGAAAGCTTAATGAACTTGATGTCAACTGGTAATCAAAACTTAACTAAATACTGGCTAAAGTATGGAAAATTAGAAGAAGATTAAAATCTTCACTCAATTCGGGCTATAATTGAGACTTTTGAAAAGAGTTGGCCCTTTATTAGTAAAAGGAAAGAATCCAGTATTGATTAAATATACATATTTACAAATTTATTTACAATAAAAATTTACATGATAAATCCTTTACTCTTCTATATCCTCCATTACCCTCCAGCTAAGGTTTAAGGTAATGTTATCATACCAAAAAGAGCTAAAAAATTATAAAGTAAAGTTAATGCCTGCTCTTTTAATATATAAATTAATAAATTTTGGAGGTACTTGGTTATCAACTTGAACATTAATTAGCCTTATTATTTCTTCCTTTAAATCTTCTATTTCAGTACATATATTTTTTATTCTGATTATTTGGCTATGAAACGTGCTTTCTATTACTTTTCTAGAAATATTAGAGTTCCAATTAATTAGCTTAATAGTATGAAAATGGAAATTCCTTCTTTTTATCATAGAATTTAACACAAATTAAATTATATGATAAAAGAAGGAATCTCATTGGTTTATTTAAATTATGTCTAGTTCCTTTTTAGTTTCTTTTTATTTTTAGTTTCTTTTTATTGATATGCATATTCGTGTCGGGGAGGTTCTGTAGACAAGGGTTTCTAAAATACATTGATTTCTAAATTAATTTTTCTAAAAATTCATTTTTTAATATAATTTTTTAATTTAATTTTTTTTAAAAAGTTTTATTTAATACTTGACTTTACATGTCATATTTCTCAAAACACTTCATTGGTATTTTCCGTTTAGAACTTTAATTTTAATTGCTAATTTCTAAAGGTACCACTTTATTGGTATTTCTTTTTGGACATTCTTCACTCTTTACTTTTGGTTTTGACTTTTACCCTTGCCCGCATGAATGACGAAACACGAATTAAATGATTGGAGAGTTAGGTTTGGAGGCAACTTTCCCTTGATAAGTCTGTCTCCTGCCTGCTCAACAGTCATTCACTTATGCATTTTTTTTAAAAAAAATTAGATTAATTTTAATTTGCTAAATTGGTGAATTTATTGTCATGGTTTGGTTTTACACTTGATTTACTTATGCTATCAGATTAGTTCGAAAATTAAATCTTTTATATGTTTGCACATTTTTAACTTTAAATTTGCTTTTTTACGTAAATACATGTTTGTTGAAATTTAGATTTGTTTAAATTTAAATAAACCTTACATAGTACATAAATTACATAAGATACATTATATTATTGAGGTAGAGAACCAAGGCTTGTCTTCCAACAGATTTGTTTATGTGTTACTATTAGTTTTAACAATTTATTTTTTATTTACTATTCCTAAATGTGCCTTTATTCCATTGTCCTTGATTATCCCCATACTTCTTTTTTACCTTATTACGCACATTTGTCTGCAATGATACCTATAGTAACATGGAAAAAAATAACCTCCTCTTTGAAATGGACAAGGACATAGTATAATTTTTGTAGTCCCCCTCTGCTAATATACTATATTAAAAATCAGTTATCTGCAGATTTCTGTGTTTCAGTCTGTTATGGGTAGAACTACGATTAATTTTAACATTGTGCTCAGGTATTGGAAAGCCCGTGGACCAATAACTAGCAATCAAAATGCCAAGTAAATAAACATTTGTTGGATTATATAAATGAATATTAACAACTCCAACGTTACTAACATAGTCAATCCATTTTCCCCGTATTTTGACTGCATCGTTAAGTTTAAGGAAAATATTTCTGTGGAGATGTTATTATAATTTTTACGACTTAATTGATCCACACTGAATTTTTCAGCTTTGGTTAAAGCCGCAATTTCTGTTAATCTATTAGATTTTTCCCCCCAGTGGTGGACTGTAGCCATTTGTAGGTGTCGGCCATTACTGAGAGCGGAAGCGATGGTCTCTTTATTATGGAAACACCTAACAGTTGAGCCACCGTTGCCTCCTATAAAGGGACGGAGGAGGCCTTCTCCGGGATTCGAACCCGGGCTCTTCGGTACGGTACTGAGTGTCACAAATCATTTTCCTGTCTGGCTGCAGTACATTAGTAGAACCTTGGAAAAATTAAACAAAGAAGGGAGTCCATTAAGCCTACGTCAGATAATCAGTTTTGAGCAATGGGTTTCAAAGAATTCATAATTTATTTCAACGCAAGCTAAATAAACAAGGCAGGAGCATTTGCCGTCCATTCTCTAATTCGTGAACAAAATTATGTTTGGTTTGCGTTGAATTTCACAAATATCATTTGAAACAGCAATAGCAATTAATTTCGTTTTATCCTTTAGGCAACGGATAATACCTACACTCATGTCCATAAATTAAGGATAATTCGGAGTCACGCGGAAATCGAACTCTAAAATAAATATATCACCTGTAAAATCACTGCACATCTTCAAGAATCATATGCAGATTTCAGGAAGTAACCAGATGACACCGATGGTACGTCACAATGACGAGAGTGTAAGAGAGTGATATATAAGGAATACAGGTAAAGAAGTAAAATTGTTCGCAGGCGCTTTATAAGCATATTAGTGCAATAGCCGTATAGTTACGAAACAAAGGACGCATTTGGATGATTTTTTACGTGGTAGAATTATCAGCCGTCTGGAATGTGGGCGTACCCAACTGGAAGTATCAGACGAACTTGGAATTGCCCAGAGTGTCATCTCCAGGCTTTGGCAACGATTCCAAAATGATGGTAATGTGAGTAGACGTTACAGCACAGGTCGCCCCAGAGTTACAACGCCGAATGAGGACCGGTATTTCGAAGTTACTGCCAAAAGAAACAGGCGGAGCACAGCCTCAGACCTGTCTCGTCAGCTCTCTTCAGCCACTGGTACGGCAATTTCAAGGCAGACCGTGTACAGACGCTTAGGGCAGATTGGTCTATGCTCGTAGACCTGTCAGATTCGTTCCACTTACTGCAACTCACTGTCACATGCGGTTAGCCTGGAGTAGAGAGCATGCATTGTGGACACCGCAACAGTGGGCTTGTGTGATGTTTTCCGACGAGTCCAGGTTTAGCTTGCAGTCTGATTCTCGCCGGACTTTCATATGGAGAGCTCCAGGTACCCGTTACCACCAAGAAAACATCATTGAACGACACCGTTACGGTGGTGCAGGAGTGCTCGTTTGGGGTGGAATTATTCTGGGTTCCAGAACTGACCTGTGTGTTCAAATTGGAACCATGACAAGCCAAATCTATCGGACGTCATTCTGGAACAACATGTACGTTTGTTTCGGGGCGTCATGGGCGCACAATTTGTGTTTTTGGATGACAACGCCCGTCCTCACCGTGCAAACATCGTAAGCGAATGTCTTCAATCGGAGAATATCACGCGTATGGACTGCCAGCATTCTCATCGGACTTGAATCCAATAGAGCACGTGTGGGACATGCTTGGACGACGAATTGCAGCCCGCCAACCTCCTCCTACATGTCTACCGGAACTTCGGAGAGCATTGCTTTTTGAGTGGTGTAATATCCCCCAAGATCAGATCGATAATTTGATACTCAGCATGCCTAGGCGTTGTACGGACTGTATTGCATCGTCTGGGAGACATACAATGTATTAACAATTACACCAACCATGTAATAGTGGTTTTTTGTAAATAGGTTTTTTTTGTAATTGGCTCCAGGGAGAAAAAATCGCTAATGTTTTTAATAATATAGTATACATATATATACATTACATATAGCATCTTTTTTTGCTCTTTACCTTTTGTTTAATAAATAAGCTTTACAAATAAGTTAAATTTGTTTTGCTTCTAACTCTTCCTTTTGCCTGATTTTGCATTATCCTTAATTTATGGACATGAGTATATATAATGTGTCTGAAACATGGTATTCACGGTATATTCCATGGTATTCACGTACCTTAAAGCAGTGCCATCTTCACGTAAAGCACTATTGTCAGTGTTCCGCCGTGAGTACAGAAACCTATATTTTGGCAAATTGATAGTTACTGAGTTTATGTAATTAAGGGCCCACAAACACTGCGAAAACCTAGAGACCTGTGATATTATTACGACGCTCTACCTTGAAGTACAATAATAAAAAAAAAGCAAACTGGTGTATAGCTTAGGCAAAATCAGAAGGTTATTGACTAATTTTGTGTGTACTTTCTGGAGGTAACAGGATTTAATATATGTTCCAGATCTCTAATTATTGTTGAAATAAAGCAACTTGCAGTAATTAACGTAAGAGTTAGTCTTTGCAAAGATTGTGGCTCTTGCAAAGGACTAAGAAAGATAATTACAGTTGTAGAAGTCGCATCATTGTAGTTCAAAATATTTAATTTCTTTTTTACTTCCTTTTACAAAGTAAAGGAAGTATTGTAATAGCACACAGTATCGGAAATCATATTTCATCCGAAATATCCATTTTGATCGTTCTCAAATCTAGTTGGAAGATTATTTTGTGTAACATCCGTACGTGCTGACAGAATAAATGACTCTTTTTTCCAAAACGGATTGTATAATGGATTCAGAAGTGATTTGTTTTCGTGACGTTTTTATGTACGTATGTATAGCTCAAAAACGAGGGACCGCCGAACGTTGAAATTTTGTATATGGGACTGCTATAACATCTAGTTGTGCACCTTCCTTTTCCGCCGCATATATATATATATAAAGTTTTTTAAATAAAATAAAAGAAAAAAGTTGGAGCTTAAATGCAAGTTTACGATTTCTATCCCATGAAGGTTCTAACTTGTACCTCGAAGAAAGTCGTAACCCAAATGTAAAAATTAAAATATGGAAAGCATTACATATTAAAATGAGAAAAAAATGAAACATTGATCTCCTCAGTTGAACTCTCTTCTATTTCAAACATAACGTTTTGGTTCTGTTTGAAACGTTGAACTTGAATTAAATTAAAATTTTTATGCACCGAAAATTTTGTCTCTGCCCTTTAACCGAATTGCTTCTTTTGGAGTAAAAACTTTAATTTTAACTGCACGAACTATGTTTTATGTCTAAACTATGTTTAACTGTATTTGGTATTCTAGGTCCTGTTTTACAATTTGTAATGAAGATGTTTGAGTTTTTATGTTTTTTGGCCTTGCTGCGAAATGAGAACTGAATTGGCTGATTGAGAAATATATCACTAATGAAATTCGGGGAAACAAAGTTTAAATGAAGTGCAGTAAAACAATGTGTATGGTTTATGAGCCGTACAAAGAAGTCATGTGGTGACCACATCAGATTTTTTTAATAAGTATTCCTAAAAATTACGAGATATGAAAAGTAATTATTATATGGTAGTGTCTACAAAGCAAAAAATATTATCTGTGTCGTAAATTAAAGCTACATCTCGGATTCGCTGATAGAGATCGATTTTGAGAATATGGTATACATACCGTCCAGCCTCCACCATCGTCTTCCATGTCGCAGAATACTTGAACTGATCCCTTGGAAATTCGGTTTAATGGCCAGATCGTGTAAACACTACTTTTGGCAGTTTCATTTTTTGTCTTAATTTCAGCGCAGTCAGTAGGCTTATTTAATAGTGAATCTCTAGAGATGGCACTGAAAGCACAAGAAATTGTAAATTTTCTGAAAAAATTATACAAAATCTCAGTAACTGTAAAATGAAAACATACGAAATTTACTTTTTTAACCCAAGCTTGGTAGAAACATTTTCAGTTTAAAAAACCGAACATTTCTGTACCAAGCATGGAATATATGGCGTTAGAAACGTCTTCGATGCAATAATGCTGCATATATTTATTTTAATTAATGTCAATTAATTATGTTATGAAAATAAAATTAAGATCTAAATTATTAAGAACTGCAGTTACTGTTTTTAAAATGCTCAGCTTATTAAGAAATTACGGACTGATGATATTCGAAAAAAAAAGTTAATATTTTTCATATTTTGTCAAATGAACTCTGAGAATCGGTTAAGCGTAAGCCCACAAGGAAAAAAATCTTCACGAGTTTCGCACTGTAGTAACGAACTGTTTTTTGAGCTTGAACGTTCCCGTAAATAATGTAAAACAAGCACGAAGAAAAACAATGGTCGACGCGGTTTTAGATACAAGATTATCTGAGCCCTATAGAGTAAGTACTTTTACAGGGTAGTTTTAACCCTTCTGTGTGGTTTTTACACATACTTCAGTTGTCACTCTTGAAGATAAACAAGTAGATCTTACAAAACAAGCAGAAAAATTGCCGTTAAATTACGATATCTGGCCGGAAGAAAGAATAAGGTGCGAATTTTTCCAAAAAGTTGATTCCTGTATAGTGGGCATGAACCTGTTTTATGTAAGTTTTCATAAGTTAAGGTCTAGAGAAAAGACTTTCTAATTCTAAGGAAGGGTAAAGAATTCGATCACCAATTTTCTCTGCATTGAGTCAGTTACGGGAATGCCGTTTGCATAGGAAATAGGATCAACACATTGCATTTGTTCAGAAAAATCTGATGAAGAGCTGTGTTTCTGGAGGTAAAAAGTATGCTTATAAGCTTCCATTCAAATAAAAATTTAAATACACCTTTATTTAATTCAAATAACTCAAAATTTCGTAACAAAAATTTACATTAAAGGGCTAAGTGTTCTTCCCTTTAAAGTACTCCTTTAATGTACTGCTGTTTCAATTTAAATTAGAATCAGTGCAGTCTGTTGACGAAATGTAGTTAGAGGCAAGAGCTCTCTATCTTTGGCATAAAAGGAGGGAGTGTGTAACTAAATTAAGGGCAAACATAAAATTGATTAAATTTAATTTATTGCTGCTAATTCAAATTACACCTCTAAAATAGCAACCAGTACCAAAGTTAAATACTCTCTTAATTAATTAACTCCTCTTACTTACTTTAAGAGAGTACTTAAGAACTTAAAAGGGTAGAAATGTATTTTAATTACTTTCGTAAAATTCGTTAGGAAGCAACGCCATTTAACTAATTTAAGTTGAAGATTCCATCTTCATACCTAAGATAAAAGTATTAATTACTGAAAAAAAAATTAAACCAAGATTGAAAGCATATTAAGATACATGATAGGTATGTCATATATACACATTTATTGATAAAAACAAATAAAGTTATTGGATACTTTCAAGCAGTATTAATAATATGCTAAAGAAACGGTATGTTGGTAGAATTTATTTTAAATTGAATGACTACGTTTCCCAAAAGAGCAATGTTTAACAGAATTTGACTAAATCTGATATACAAAGTTTAAAATTCAGGATATTTATAGAACTATTCTGAATTTAAAATACTATACAAGTAAAGGAATAAAGCTAAAGATTTTTAACTTACAATTCACTTAGTTTTCAGGCACAATTAACTTACAATTCACTTAGTTAAACTGATAACATTATTAACCGATAACATAATTTATTACCAATGTATTAAATTAGTATACATAGAATTTTTATACTATGTATACAAACGATTCAACGGGTTTCAAAGCACTGTATTTTTAAAGCATTGTATATGCAATAATAACTGATACATGAAAAGGACTAAATTTTCAAGTTTTCCTCACACACTACGACATAACGAATGTGTATGTTCCGTTGGCCACACAAGATACACCTCGAAACAAGTTCTGTTCATAACTTTTGTATCATGGCTCTCCTGTCTCCGCCGATCTGGTTTTCTATGATTTCTTCCTTTCAGTGGACATCAGCGCTGTTTTTTTTTTTTTTTTTTTTTTTTTTTTTTTTTTTTTTTTTTTTTTTTTTTTTTTACGTATTCCTATTGCCAGCAACGCTAGTATAACGGAACGAACGGATAAATGCTACTGTATTGACCGTTAATAAGCGAATTTTACAAAAGGTATGGATCAAACTCTACTACCTATACTGAATATTTATCCTTGAACAGTAAAGCACACATAAAATATTGTTGTGCATCAGGAAAAGACGAGTTTTCCGTTCTATTTAGGTCTCTATCATTTCTGTATCTGCAATACTAGCAGAGCTTAAATTGCACCGGTGCTTCTTAGTTTTTGGATAAATCATAATTCTAGTCGGAGTGCACCAAAGCCTTAAATAAGAAGTCTCCGGCACGTCTTTAATGTAACTGAATCAAAATTTCAGCAAAAATCTGATCTCAAAAATTTTATTTTTAGTAATAAAGTAATATTAAAAATCGACTCTAACGTCTGAATGCATGCTTCTCTTTCCTTCGGAAACAAACCCTTGGATGGAGGTCGAGACTTTTAAGGAAAGAAAAGTCCCCACCCACATGTTAAAGGCTTATTCTCGAGAAAGTATAACGAATTTATGACGGTGGTTAAAGTTTTCGTTTCAGCGCTATTGTCTTCCCGGGGAAAAGAACACTTGCAGAGTTTTGGGGACAGTGTAAACAAAGACAAGAGTTGAAAATGTTGGACTCTTCCTCTTTTTGTTTTCATACCTACAGGTCAAATTTTCTAATTATCTCTTACTGTTTAAAACATTCTCTGTATTTTCATCAGTGACGCTTTAACGCTTTTACCGTTTTTCATTGGTTTCCTGGAAAAAAGGATGGTCTTCATTTCTTTCATTGAGCTTAAAATTAAACCAGGAACTGTTTGAGATATTTCTTATTTTTTGTATGAAATTGCAATTCCAGCCGAAATGCCCAGTAAGTCAATGTCTTTTGCATCTAATGGTTCTGTGAGACTAAAGGTGCATCCAAGAGATAATAAGAGGTTTTGTTAACAATAACAACATTTATTTACAAGAAAATATACGAAAATTTCAATCAATTAGATATATTATTAGGCATCTCTGCCTTCCACGTCTTACACCTTTAGTATCCTGCCTGCCAGTGACTATTAGGACGAACGCAGCGCCCTCTAGTCAGAATGACGCTGGCTGGAAATACGTAATACTCCCCACCTGAACTCACTTGAGTTCACTTAGCATTGAATTTCAACTAAATTTACATTCAGGAACCATTTAAAATTACAAGAATAAAAATATAAATAGCATATTATATCAAATACAAAGCTTCAAAATTATTCAGTGACTTAACATACAAAAACCAATTACACTTTTAACTTCCAAAGAAAATTGTTCAAATATCAAGCATTAAAATATAAGCACAATTAAACTATAATTAATACACAGATAGAACATTAACAGGTTGCAACTCAATTAAACTAACACAATTAAGGATTAATTTCCAAATTATACACAAGTTGTACTGAGCGTTTTATTTGTCCTTTAGGAGTCTGAATAAGAAGAGAACGAACTTTTCCATCTCTTCCTGGATATAGCTCTAAAATTTTTCCCATCATCCACATATTTCTGGGATAACGCTCATCATTAATCAAAACAATATCATTCACTTTAAATGAAACTATTTTACCTGGTTGTGGAAGAAATATAAGCTGATCTTAGATTAAGTAAATATTCCTTTTCTCCACCTGTTCCAAGAAGTGATTCAAAAGTGTTTGCTGATATTTATATTTCTTTACCAAAGAATTCTATTAACATTTAAATTTTCATTTTTATGTTTTATTACAGGTAAAGACGCACCAATCTTTTACCTAATAAGAAAATGAGATGGGGTGAGTGGAGAGGGTTTCTGAGGGTTCGTTGTACAGATACGTGATAGGCCTGGAATTAACCAGAGCTTCAATTTTTCCGAAAAAACAGTAATTTCCAATTCCTTCAAAGAAAGAGAGGATCGTCCAACAATTTTCTTTAAGCAGGTTTTAACCGTTCGTATCTATCTCTCTCTCCCAGAAACCTCCCCACCATGGACTTTTTTCAACTATAAAATTCCAAACTATACCTTTAGAAGCAAACAAAATTTTTAACTTGATCATTATCTATCTGATTCCACACCATTTTTCAATTCACTATTTGCTTTTTAAAAGCTTTGGCGTTATCAGAATATATAGTGGAACATAATCCTCGACGAGAAACAAATCGTCGGAATTCCTAACAAAAAGGAATTCAGCACTTATGTTAAGAACTACTTCTAAGTGGATACCTCTTGTCACTGCACAGCTGAATATAAGTAAATAACACTTTGAATTAAAATCACGAATAAAAAATGGTCCGGCAAAATCCAGACCGCATACATCAAATGGTGGATGCTCTTGAAATCTATCAGGCGGTAAAGGGGCAACCACCTGCATTCCAGATTTCACTTTGAATGGTCTACAAATTAGACAGTTGTTTAACACTTTTTTTCACAAAATGACGACCTTTGACAATCCAGAAGTGTTCTCGTAAAAGTGTTAAAGATGTAGCAACACCTAAATAGCACATTTTACCATGAGAATCACATATGAGTAGCTCAACAAATTTATCATTAGATGGAAGAAGCCAAGGATGTTTGGCTCTCATATTGTTACTTGAGAACTGTAAATGTCCCTTTAAACAAAGTAAGTTATTGTCATCAAGTTCAGGATTTAAATTAAATATGAGTGATCCCTTATCGATAGTTCCTTTAGAAAGAAGTTTGGAAACCTCTGTACCGTAATGTTTGAATTGAGTAGCTTTGATCCAAAAACGCAAAGCTTGCTCGAGTTCTCTGAGCCACATATAGGTCCATGTAATTTTGTAGAATTAGGTTTAGAATT